GTGACGTCACAGTGTCCATGTCCGTCTCTTGTATACAGTTTGTGGGTCGGTCTGACTGACTTTCCATCTTCTATTATATGTTCCTTAATAAGGTGCGAGGACAAGGCATTCAAAAAGTTAATGTCTAATTTCGGGAGCTCGAGAAGCGAAGAGAGCTGCAGTGCTGTGTTGGAGCTCCTTGAGAGAGTGACCAGGTTGCATAAGCAGCTGGAGCTGAAGGAGAGCCAGGCTGAGATAAACATGGACCAGGTACAAGCCAACTCTGTCATTCCTCACCCTAGGGTGGGTTTCTGTGGTGCCACCTGCCCTCTGTTGGATCTATTTCTATGAAAGGTTCTGTTATTGATATTGTTCTGCTTGCCTTCAATCCCAAGCCTTTTTGTGGCTCTGCACGGTGTGAAACTAGATTAGAGATGACTGCTAAAGGTTCTTCTGAAAGTGGAGGTCTTCATAGGCTAAACCACAGCTACAATCCTTCAACTTCCACCTAACCAAACCACCAGGCCTCCCACACACAGACACGCCTCCCTCTTTCTGGGTGTGGGTGTGTTTGCAGCTGTTTGCCACTGGAGCCGACCACAGAAACACTCCCCTCTTTGTTGCTCCATGACACTTAAAAAAATATAATGAATTTAAAGCCCTCTCGTCACAGTCGAGTGGTATTTTCACAACACAGGAAGACAGGCAGAAGGGGAACCGTGATGTAATGTGTTCCCAGAACATCTCAGCACTCAGAGAGGAAAAGTTCAAACCAAACAAAGTCCTGACAGCGAGGCTTTGTTTATGAGCAGGATGTGTGGGGTGAGACCTTTGTCCTTCAATACACCATGATGTAAAGGTGCACTGCAGGGACTAACATTTCTTATAGAAACCTACAAAAATGGGTTGAATTTTAATGTATTTACAGTTACAGTTGTAGGATAAAGACATGCTGTGGAAGAGAGCCAGAGATTAATAGCAAGTATGATCCAATGCAGGGAAGTGTATTAGCACATAGTGAGTGAGAAAGGTGGCTGAAGAAGAAATGCTAAAGCCTAATCTTGAAAGTAAAGATAGTGTCTGTCTCCTGAATCCAAACTGAAAGCTGGTTCCATAGAAAACTGAATGCTCTGCCTCCCATTCTACTTTTAAATACTGTAAAGTGCTGTAATGGGGTGAAATGGTACTATAAGGTCATTATTGGACCTGATTATTCAAGACCTTGTATGTGAGGAGACAGATTTTTAATTCAATTTAACAGGAAGCCAATGAAGGGAAGCCAATACAGGAGAAATCTGCTCTCTCTTTCTAGTCCCTGTCAGGACTCTTGCTGCAGCATTTTGGATTAGCTGAAGGCTTTTCAGGGAGTTTTTTGGACATCCTGATAATAATGAATTACAGTAGTCCAGCCTGGAAGTAATAAATGCATGAACTAGTTTTTCAGCGTCACTCTGAGACAGGATATTTCTAATTTTAGAGATGTTGCGCAAATGGAAGAACGCAGTCTTACATATTTGTTTAATATGTGCATTGAAGGACATGTCCTGGTCAAAAACGACTCCAAGGTTCCTCACAGTGTTACTGGAGGCCAAGGTAATGCCATCCAGAGTAAGAATCTGGTTAGATACCATATTTCTAAGATTTTCAGGGCCGAGTACAATAACCTCAGTTTTATCTGAATTAAGAAGCAGAAAGTTAGCGGCCATCCAGGTCTTTATGTCTTTAAGACATTCCTGCAGTTTAACTCATTGGTGTGTGTTATCTGGCTTCATGGACAGATAGAGCTGGGTGTCATCTGCATAGCAGTGAAAATGTATGCTATGTTTTCTAATGATACTGCCTAAGGGAAGCATGTATAATGTAAACAGAATTGGTCCTAGCACTGAACCCTGTGGAACTCCATAATTAACTTTAGTTCTTTGTTGGTTTTGGACATAATTAATTAAGTCCAAAACCAACAAATAAGTGGTCTCACATCTTGTGTGAAGAGGGAGAGAAGGAGAAAGATATAAACCACTGCAATGCAGTACCAGTAATACCTACAGCATGCTTTAATCGCTCTAATAGGATATTATGGTTAACAGTGTTTAGCGCTGATCCAGGTCTAGCAGGATAATTTTGTTTCTGAAGGTGACATGCAACAGTTCTATGCTTGTAAAACTAGCAGCAGCAGCAGCAACAACAACAACAACAATAATAGATTTTCAGCCTATTTTAACAGTTGTAGATTCCGAGATTATCAATTCAAACAACCTCACAATCAAAGTAAGTGGGACATGTAGCTACTGTCCCAGGGTTTGAAGTAGGAACCAAATGTCACTTTCAGATGACAAGAATGCACTGAGGCCAAACCTCCAATAAATTAGACTCAATTGGAGTCCAAGTCTCACTGTTAACTGTCAAGCAAATTGTGCATTGCTATGAACTGTAAAGGTGTTATTGTAAGGTGACACAGAGATTGGGTGGTTTGGCAGCAGTTACCTGACGAATGTTGTGCCAACTATTAAGCATGGTGGTGGTACTGTCATGCTCTGAGTCTGCTTTGTTGCTATTGGCAAACCGAACACTGGATGAAATAATGAAAGAAGAAGAGTAGGTGAGAATTCTTCAGCCTAAACTCAAACCATCAGGAAGGTGCCTGAAACTTTGACACAGCTGGCATCTCTACAGGACCACAGACACACTGGTTTTGAAATGAATTAAACAGGCTGAGCTAATAGTAAGGTTTTTAAAGACCTGCTTAGGAAAATTTTCAAATGTGCAGCAAATTCCTCTTTACCTTTTTAGTAGAAATTAGTGTAGTATAGTAATTTTCTATATAAATAACTATTCAAAGACATGGCTATGATACTTTTGATAATGGTAAGTGTCTGCAAACTTTTGACAGGCACTTTAAAAGTTCCTAACTTGTTTTTTTTTTCGTGGTTAGGTTGGTATCTTTTCTTTTAACAAACCCAAAGAAAAGTCCAAAACCAACAAAGAAGTGCTCTCACATCTTGTGGATCAAAAGCACTGGAGGTCTACAGACCTAAAATAAAAAGTTGTTATTGTTATTAAGTCATTGTTGTACTGGGTGACATGTTCATTCATTACTTGTAATATATAATAATCTTAACTGCAATTTTTCCATTCGTTGTCTTGCCATTGAAAATGCTTTAATACCAAATCAGTGTTAATGAAAGTCCTTATATTTAAGGATGTTTTCAAAGGCCAGATGTTCTTCTAAGATGAACTCACAATGTGATTCTTGATTCTGATGCCAGGAGTAACTGGTTCTTGTGCCATGTCTTCCAGATGAAGGACTCCCTGATGCAGGAGCTGCAGCAGAAGGCTGAGGAGACTGAGCTGCTTCAGATGGAGCTGCAGATGCTGGAGACAGAGAGGGTCCGTCTGTCTCTGGTGGAGGAGAAGCTCGTGGACATCCTGCAGCTTCTCCAGCAGCTCAGAGACCTGGTTAGTCACAAGGTTTTGGTTTTTTAATTGTTGAGATAAATTTAGAAAGGACATTTTGACTTTGTAAGGATATTCAAATATTTTTAAATCATTTTAAGGCAGGAAAATCTTGCAAACAAGCATTGAATCCATCATGTGAACTGAATTTCAAAGTAATGAAAATCATTTGCAGTGTTGATAGTTGAGAGACATCCACTGATGGCGCACTGGAATTACTTTTTTCTGGTCAGATATCAAATAGGAAAACAAACAGAAAGCATTTTCCTTGCTACAGGCAAATTCTCCACATGGACATTAACTTGGGAATGTTTTCAAACTAAAAGGCAGCTTTGTGCTGTTGAGGTTTTTATACATTCTTTTGTGTTTGCACTATCCCTTGTCAAACATATGTGAAAGCTTTGTAGTTACAAGATGCAGTTTTCTCATGAAAGTGGCTGTTAAGCACCTGATTCTGTCATCTGGCTCTCTGCTGATTTCAGAACGTCTCACGGAGGTCTCTCGGGAAAATCTTGCTCAGCACTCTGGAGTCTTGCAGCGACCCGCAGCACGGTTAGTAGACCTCACACACCCAATGAAATCAATACAACTCTTGTGACATGAAACCATGAAAATTTACAGTTACATGTGGGAGGGAGTTAAATGGAAATAAACTGAATGGCCTGTCATGTGACTTCCTCAGAAATATCACATCTGTTCTGTTTTTAACACAGGCAAGGCCCATATTCTGGAGGTGCTCAATGCCCTCTATCATGAACTTACTGCTTGTGAGATTCTGTCTTCTGGTAGACCTTTGGAAAAGACACACAGTCAGCAGTCTCTTGATGCCCTCATCATCTCCTGCTAAACAAGACTGCCTCCTGCTGGCCTCGGAAAATGCAAGCGTCTTTTTGGAGGACACTGAAAGCTCAATAGTTTTGATATATGAAGCTGATTGATGTGTATAGTGTATTATATTATGGCGATTATAAGCCTCTTGCCCTGTATCTATAAAGGGATGTTAATCTAGAATTATTGTAGCAAAGAGCTTTATTACATATAACTGAAATACATGCTCACAGATTTTTTTAAAAGCTTCTATTGCACATAAACTTTCAGGATGCAAAAAAACAATTGTTTCATTTGAACTTTTCACAAAAGATACGTAAATGTGAAAATTCAGAAGTGAGTTTAACTTTAACAGGACATAGTGCTCAACCTCTGCTGATCAACCTCAACCTCTGACATAACCATTCCACATCTGCTTTTTAAGATGAAATAAGCTGAAAAGATGATAGGCTACACAAACTGTAGAGAAATATGCAATCTACAGTGTATTTTACCATCTCAGGAGACCACACATGCTTTTATTTTGCAGCCCTTAGGATGCCTCCGTGTTGGGAGATAATGTGGGATCATTAGCCACTTTGTATCTAACTGTGTTGACATGGTCATCTGCGACTATTAAGCAATAAATAAAAATTTGGATAGAAAATGTATTTCTGCTCAACTTACTCAAGTTCCTCTTACTCACTTTTTGAACACAACACAGTCTTCATCAGCATTACTAATCACCTGACAAATTGTACAGAGCTAATGGCACTGGTTGTCTTCTAGCTGCTGACAACACATACTTATCCTGCCACATCTTAAAGCTGTATCTCATGAGCGCACTATTTAATCTGGAATTCACCATCTTTGCCTCTTCTACTGAAATCATTTTAAATATTTCTTGGAACATCAACTATTAGTAGCCTACATGCAATCATAGACTGTATAACAAAAACAAGCTATCAACAACTTATTTTGGCAAACTTTATTTTCTAAGAAGTAAATAATACTCACTATACCACTTTTGATTAAAAGGGAATAAAATTTTTCATTCAGGCTCATATTTATTGTGCTCTCAAGTAACAGTGATGAATGATGCACAAGTTAACTGTTGAGTATGAGAACAAAATTTGGTGAATAAAATGCACTCTGCTAAATTTTTTTACATTTCACTATTTAAAGGATTTTGTAGCCTACTCTGAAACTAACCAACAACCTGGTCAGTGACATAATTTTTAACGCAGTTTAAAAAAATAACTGGAAGGTCAACAGAAATGAAACAACTAGAGGTGGGCGGATTGATCCAAATATGGATAGTATGGATAACAACTCTACCATTGGTATCGGATCGATACTAGCACGATTGGATCAATACTTTGCTTTTTAAGTTCAGCATGTAGCCCGCTGAACTGTGTTAATTATTTCTCTGGAAAAAATAATCCTCAAACATGCACTATGAAAAATGTCCGAACATTTTTGTGTGCTTTAGAGACAGAACATTTTACATTTGAGGTCTCCAAAAACCCAGTTTCAAAACACATGAAAAGCTGTTGAAATTTCCAGGCAAGTATATACATGTTAAATGACAAGATATAGTGTTCAAATAGCATCAATTAACAACTTCAGGTTTTTTATTTCTATATGACAATTTTTCGTGATTAAACAATAAGAACAAGTAGTCTGATGTCCTGTAATCATTACATTGTAATCACAGTCCCCTCTGTGCATCCTCCGACATGCCAAAAAGGGAGGCTGTAAAAAGAACAAAACCAATAAATATGAGTAAAGTAACAAAATAACTCACCTTATAAACACAAGGATTTAGGATCCTTTAGCATCTGCTGTTATTTTCAATCAATTCATCCAAAAAAATAAAATAAATACATAAATAAATAATAGATGTGCTTACAGTCTGAGGAGATTGTCCCCAACACCACAGATCGCACTCACAACACTGTCCAGTGATGCTGCATTTCCCTGCAAACGATCATCTCCTCCTCTCTCAGGCACCTCACAGCCATCACCTTCTCGAAGACCTTTCTCTTTGTCTGGAGGTCTGCAACAGCTACAGTTTATCAACATCAGAAGGGAAAACATAATAGCATATTATCATTCAAGAACAGAACATCCAACTGCTGCTCAGATACTGGGAATTTGTTTAAACAGGATACATTTGAAATATTTATAAATGAAGAGCTTACATTCACTTGTGCTCTGCCAGGGCCAAATGTCGGTCTGGATGAGGGTAATGTATATATTTAGATTAGAATCCACACTCTTCAATTTGTTTGCTAGAACATGCATCACATCCAGCTAAAACAAACCTGGATAAGATTTTATTCTGTTTACAAAGTAGCCGTACATGCACCAAACTGCAAAAGTATCAAACGGCCCATTTCAGAGAAACAGGGACATACCACTTTGTCTTTGTTTGTAAAGATTTTGTTTGCACTCTGATGATGGCGACAAGCTCCTCTATTCGTGCCTGCAACGCTCCAAGGCTGCCATCGGTTTGATCAGTTTCTAAGTGAGAAGAATATTAATAAGAATACAGGATGAGTATAATACATAAAACTGATCACTCACATTCAGCAATCAGTCTTTAAAGCAGAATTTCCAGAGCTAGACTTTCCCTTTAAGGGGGGCGGTACTTTTCACACAAATGTCATAAGTGTATTGTTTCATTTAAGTGGCTGAGACATAACTCCATGTGCCTTTCCAAGAATACTGTAGAAAAGCTGTACTACGTGTGCTATATAGGGTTTGAAATTATCACCAACCAAATGCAGGAAATCTAAACTACTATAACGCACACAAAGTTAACAACGCAGTGTATGCTGTACAGTGTAGCGAGCAATGCTCAGACCTCTACAATGAAGAGACCAAACAGCCACTTCATAAGCACATGGTACAACATAGAAGAGCCAAATCCAGGGGCCAAGACTCGGCTGTCCATCTGCATCTAAAGGACATAGGTCACTCTTTTGAGGATGCCAACATTCACATTTTGGCCAGAGAAGACAGATGGTCTTAAAGAGGAGTGAAAGAAGCCATTTATGTCCACTGTGAATGACCATCTTTGAACAGAGGCGGTGGTTTACGATACCAACTGTCTGCCATCTATAATCCAGTTTTGAGATCCTTCCCAGACGCCTTAAAGCCCACTCACATCCTGGGCCATCTGACTTCAATAAATAACATAATACGGTGGGGCTAGGTTTCACAATGGGTTCACCCAAAACCTTGGCTGATTGGGACCTACAACCGTTTTCACATCTTGGCTAATGATAGTGGATAAATGATGATAGAGGATGAATAGGGGGTCCATGTCCCTCTTGAGGGGACACTCCCATAGGGCTTAAAATCTGGGACTCTCCACCATTTGACCTTAGAACTGAAGAAGCTTTTCAGATGAGAAAAGATGAGATGAACATCTTCAAGGAAACTTAAAGTCCAGAGGCTTTTCTTTCCAAGCTCCTTAGACTTCGATGACCTGGATGACTGAGAACCTTCACAGACAGACTACCAATTGTGATGCAGAGAGAATGAAAATAATACCATAAAAGAACATAATAACTCTCTTTGTTCAGCCTAATGTTACTCTACAGTTCTGTTGTACATCAGTGAGGTGTATGGACTGAACTACAGTGGAGTCTGTTATCATTGACTTGACAGATATTGATTATAAGACATCTGTAACCTTCATGCGCTGCATTATCATGAGACAACAAGTACGTTGGTGTTCAGGTTTATAAAACCATCTTGTACAACAGCATTTCAATCCAGGTACAATCCCATTTGATCAAATGCAACAACTCTGCCACAAATTCTGCTTTTACAAGCCTTATGTTTCATTGTTGACACTGTCAGAAAGATATTAACTCTACCTTAAGTTCATTAATGAGGCCATGGTGGGTCCTATCATTGTATAGGTGTGCATTATATTGAGAGTCACCTTCAGCCCAGTTCTGCACATCAACCACCTATTGCTGTAGTGTGTTGTCATCCACATTTAGGCTCTCCACTTGTTCTCTAAGGATCCTGTGATCTAATAATACATTAATAAATGTCATTCACTTTGACATTTTTAGAGTACTGGTGCTTTTCCCCATTACCACACACATCAAAATTAGTGTAATTCCAAACAAGATAGCAATGCACAGTATGCACTAAAACCTGTAAACACGTCTATTGTGTATGTATTGTGTGACAAAAGGGCCACTTACCATTTATGGTTACAAGAGCCACTATTGCGCCAGGTGAACCCTCAACGTTACCTGCTGTGCAGCCACACACATCATCTGGCCTTTGCACAGGCAACAGCGGCACTAACATTAAAACACACAATATATATAAAAAGAATTGGAAGTCCACTGATACACAATAAATATACAATAACAGCACCCACTCATAGTGCATAGTAAGGGATGTATAGGACTTAAAAACTGTACCTATTTGCTGGTGAAACTCTGATGAAGGCTGCAAAAACCCTCCTGTCATTGCCTCTCTGTTGTGCACTGTGTGAACTGCAATATCACAGTGGGCACAAAGGAATGGAAGAGGCAGTCAGTCCAGGCACCTCACAACAACTTGTTTGCCACACTGACACACACTGTGTGGCTGTGGAGCCAGAGGAGCTAACATATTGTCAATAAGACAAGGCCTGGTCTCTTTCTACTTTTGCAAGGACACCATGTTTCTGATTTCCCAGTGAGTAGCAGCCAACTCAGACGGCGTCTCACAAGTCACAGCTGCATCCTCTTCTCCATCCTCCAACAACTGAAGGAGCTGCTGACGAAGCAACTCAGGCACTAACAGAAAAAAAACATTAAGAAATAAAGAAACTGCCACAAAGTGAACTAAATACTCTAGGCAGTGTGGCTTAGGTTGGAACAATGACCTTGTCCAGCTATGCCGTGGCTTTGGTGAGAGAAGCTTTGGTGCAGAAACTGATGAGTCAGTAAGATAACTAAATCAGTACCTAAGACTGAAGCTCCTTGAATGAGTTACTTCAATATGACAGGGTGAAATGTCACTTTGATGCACCAACAGAAAACATGGATCAGGTAACCTGCATACCTGCACTTTAAAGAAACTGGAGAACCTGAAGGACACATGAACACTTCGAACGATCCACAGCTATGACAAGTGCACAGAAATCTGCAGTAACTCCACATTTAAACATGTTCAGTTGCTTCATTCAACAACCTGTCTTTAGATGAGTGACTGTGACAGCATAAAACTTTTTTCTCACCTTCCTTTTTACTCCAAACCTGGAAGCACACACGACACAGGAAATATAATCAGATCTCTGACAGTGAAGACAAATAAAAGATCTCGACTTAGCTCTGCTAATAATGACACAGAGAAACAAAAATGTACATGTGTGTGTGCAGATTATTTATACACTTATTCACAAAAAAGATTACATTTGTTCATTTTTCATTCAACAGTTCACTAAACCAGTCTTGGCTACATAAAAATGCACAATAAAGCAAAACTGGAGAAACCAATAGACATTTTTAATCCTTCTCTTATATGGTAAATGGACTGGTTCTTATATAGCGCTTTTCTACTCTTCTGAGCACTCAAAGCGCTTTACACAACTTGTGCATTCACCCATTCACACCCATTCGCACAAGCACATTGTTCTAAGTGTCCTAAGTGTTCTAAGTGCTTTCTAAGAAGCATTCACACACATTCATACTCCGATGGATGCATTGAAAAGCAATTTGGGGTTAATATCTTGCCCAAGGATATTTGGCATGCAGACTAGGGGAAGCCAGGAAACCTGGCAACCTTCCTATCAGTAGATGACCTGCTCTACCGCCTGAGCTACAGCCACCCCTATATATGTTCTCATTTTATTTTTACCTATAAACTGAAGCACAAGCGTAAAGAAACACAGACATTTGAATCTGTCTGAATGTAAAGATCTTATCTTTCAGTCTCTTTTCTTCTTGAGTTTCTAACAAAAAAATGTATTGATTTGCTGTAATTACACTGTAACATTACTTTTTCATTGTGAATTTCAGCCTCCTTTTTCACATTTCTGCTGCTATTCTTATGCAATCAGACTGTCACAGCTTTCATGTTCCTCATTTGTTACCAGCTAGAGTTGGTATTAATTAATTAGGTTGGTTCTCAGGAAGCTATGGTGTTAAAGCCTTACCTCCCTGCTTTATATTTTGCTGCATATTTCGTATACAGCACCTCCTTCTGAACGAAAAGGGATTGTTACAACAACGAATCCAGAAAGAAAAAAATCCTAAAACAATAGAGGCAATATCCTTGTTAGAACCGGCCGATTTATTTATGTCCTCTTTTATGGACATTTGTTTTTGTTCTAAGGATTGAAAGATTCTATGGGCTCAAATATTTATGACCACAATTTGAGCCCATATCGAATCAGTATCGTCGATACCACTCTGAATTTTAGCTGGTATCGGATCGGAAAGGAAATCAGTGGTATGCACATCACTAGAAACAACGGTCTGGAAACACCTTACGAGTTCTCGTGGTCTCGCGGGATTTCCCAGCGTTGCCTAGCGACGTGACTCTCAATCGGTTCCGCGAGGGCTTTTCTGGCTTTCAGAAGTATTAATGTTTTCTGGAAGTGTTTGTTATGCGCAGAGACACTCTTCAGTTTTCAAGCCTGCTGGCATATTATTATTATTTTAAGTGACATCTAAAAATGTCTTTTGTAGTTGCTCAGTCCCATTTCATTTTCGGTGTACGGACTGGTGTGAGGAACAATTTGTGTTTCTTTGACGAGCAAACCGTCGTCTTCCCCAGCGGAAACAGCTGCGTGTGTTTCAACACTGTCCAACGATGGCAGCGGTTCATTTCAGGTGCGCTCATTTTTAGATGTCTAAGTCATAACTAACTAACATAAGTAACTAAATTTCTACCCTGGTGGTGCTCTTGATATAAGTACGAAAGTTGGTTTTTTTTAGTATTTAACAGCATTTATTTCTGTTGGTGTCGTCTCTCCAGGCTCAGAGAGAGGTCAGGGAATGCGTGCTATGACCATCAGCTCCAACAGACGCTACCTGGCAGTGTCAGATTATGGAGAGAGAGCCACCGTCACTGTGTTTGACCTGCAGCATGAGCAGGGCAGAAAGAGAAAGGTTTTGAGTGCAGGAGACATGTCTGTTCAAGAGTTTATCTGCATTGCTTTCTCTCCTGATTCCAAGTACCTGATAGGCCTGACAGGGAGCCCCGAGTTGATGCTGATCCTCTGGCTTTGGGAGAAACACAAACTCCTGGCAACACTGAAGACAACAAACACAAATAATCCTGTCACCCAGGTGAGTCATCTGTGCTGCATCAGTGAAGCTTGTATAAATGCAGGCATACACATGCTGAACACGTTATTATTATAGTAACTGTTTCTCATCAGGTCAGCTTCAACCCTTACAGCAACACACAGCTCTGTGTGAGAGGAACCGGTGTTTTCAAGCTGTTCCGCTACTCAGAGGGGGCCCTGAAACCAAGCAGTGTTGCAAAGGTTGAGTCCATCAATTTCCTGTGCCACACCTGGGTGTCAGAGCACAGGGTGATCGCTGGCACAGACACTGGCAGACTGCTGGTGTTTGAGTCTGGAGACCTGCGAAGAGAGATCAGCATGACTTGTGTGCAGGGCCAGCCTGCCAGGTGAGAAAGCTGGACCACATGAACTGGTGCTATTTTACATGAAGCAGCCTCTGTAACTCATCTCCACCCCATGCTGTTCCTGCCATTTTTGACCCAATCCGGGTCAAGTCCATAATCATAATGGTGAATAATCTGACCTCAAAACCAACTAATTTTATTGAATTCTGTCGGTTGTACCCCAAAAATATCTAGCATAGAGCTTTTCATGGCTACCAAAAGCACCTGCTAATCTGGGCAGATGGGCAAATATAAATGATTCCTGGTGTCTAACTTCATTGTTGTCCAACAAATACACGCCGATGGATTAAATAAAGACTTTAAATGTCTGAGCAGCTAGTATCACTCATAACGTGTGGCAATGATTAAAAAAAGTAGTGGAAAAATTGGCAGACATGTTGAAACATGGAATGGAAATGCGTATAACAAATGATAACCAGCTGATCTCAGACCAGATGAATGGGTTCACTGTGGTCACTGCAGCAATCCATCTTTGATGAGTGATGTTCTTGCTTATACCCGCTTCACTTTGCACAGGCAGGTGGAGGTAAAGAAGATCAAAGATGCTAATGTGAATGAAGGTCCCTCTGTCCCTTCCATCACAGCAATCCTGTCCTACTCCAAAGGCTTTGCATGCTCTAGAGGTCCTGGCACCGTTTTTCTGTTTGAGCAGACAGATGAGAATGGTTACAGAAAGACCAGGGAGATAAAGGTAAATGTTTAAGCTTTATATCAGAAAAGGTGGAAAGTGAAGTCTTTGTGTGCACATGGGTATGCTTGTGTCAGATCCCTCTAGATGCATACTGCAGCGGTGTGACCTTAGCAGAATACCAGCAGATTGACACCATATGCATCAGTCCAGCAGAGGAGACTTTGGCCATCAGCACAAACCGAGGACAGCTGTACAGTGTCAGCCTGTCCTCTGTGGACATGAACAAGGTGCTCTACAGTTACACCTACCAGCACCACCAATGACGGGGTTCATCATTTGTATAAGTGAAATTACTGCATCAACTGTCCTAGCTGGTATTTTATTTTCTTCCACATGCCCCCATCAATTCAGATTATGTAGAGCTGTTTGCTACATCCATTCTCACACTGACCTCCTCTGTACTTGAAACATTACTATAGTAGCTGGTCAGCAGTCAGAAATACATACATATTATTTTGCTGTTTTACTTTTTCTTCTATGTATGATCTCACTTCCTGTTGGGTCTGTGTTTCCACAAGCCCCGCTAATTCTAGAGACTTATTCATCATGAAGAAAACAAGACAGTCGATCGATCAAACGCTTGCGCAAGGGAGGCCTGTGTCCACCACGAAAATGACCTCTACCACGACCTCCCTTGCTGCCCTTTTTATTGAGACACAGTTCACACAAAACACGTCAGAACAAAGCCACGCCCCCTTGGTTCTGAGACAAAGCATTTGTATGTATATGTGTGAACTTCTGTAAGATGTGTGTGTGTGAGTGTGTGTGTGTGTGTGTGTGTGTGTGTGTGTGTGTGTGTGTGTGTGTGTGTGTGTGTGTGTGTGTGTGTGTGTGTGTGTCAGACCTCCTGCTGACCAAAGGGTCGTAAACCCAGGAAGCTTACAAAAAAAGAAACAGATCTTTCAGATAGGATGTATCTACAATAAAACCTCCCCCAGCACAGAGTGGTTGGAGAGGTGGTCAGGATCAAAGGAATGGCTTTGATCTACTGCTTGAACTAAGACTGTACAAATTTAAGAAACACAATGGCAACATTCAACAATTAGACTTAACACTTCCTCTTCTTTTTTTTGGTGGACCAATTGTGCTAATTTCCAGTTGGATATTTTTAACAGTCTTTGTATGCTGTAGCAAAGAAAACACGCTATATAAATACAGGCCATTTACCATTTCTCTTCCTTCATTGTCTTCTTTCTGTTGTCTACCTCCACTCTCTTTTTTTCTCCACTTGTTTAAGGCATCAGAGTTCTCTTTAGATGTTTAAAGTTATCTTTGCAACTCCATTAGGAGGATAAACTACACTTTGAGTTCCTGTCCCAGTCCTTCCACTCCAGCTCCATCACTGGTTTGTCCATCTGCATATGCAAGCCCCTCGTAGCCACCTGCTCTCTGGACCGCTCTGTCCGCATCTGGAACTACGAGACAAAGTAAAACACATACACACAATTCCTTTTATAGATATATCAATCAGTTTTCGTCAGGTTGATACAATATAAAACTGCATAACAGAATGACATGTCATGTTTCTGAGCTCTTGCTGTTCTCTCTGTTTTGTCTCTAGAGTGTTGGAGCTGTGCAAGGAGTTCCAGGAGGAGGCGTACAGCGTGGCACTACATCCCACAGGCCTCTTCATCCTTGTGGGGTTTTCAGACAGACTCAGGCTGATGAACCTGCTTATTGATGACATCCGCACCTTCAAGGAGTTCACTGTGCGCAGCTGTAGAGAGGTAGAGGTTGCTTTGCATTTGTGTTTGCAGTAAATCTGAACAGCCAATACTGAAATAATCAGAGTATTACTAAATTCAAGGGTGAAATGATTGATCTTTACCCCCTTCTGTTGTGTCTCATCCAGCTGTGTTCTGTAAATCCGTAAATACTGAATCCTGGGTTAGCGTTTTCAGTATTTACTGCGATATCTGATAATTCATCTTAAAGTGGAGCATTATCACATTTTCCACTCAAAACTTTTGCGCTTGGACTCTGTCTTTGTCTCCTTCTCTTTTCAGTGTGCTTTTAGCAACGGTGGCCACATGTTTGCAGCTGTCAATGGAAACATCATTCAAATCTATTCTGTCACCTCTTTTGACAATATCCTTAATCTGAAGGGCCACAATGGAAAGGTGAGTCAGCTGGAGTTTGTGTTACAGAGGAGTCCCAGTGCTTATTTGTCATTCTTATTTACTGGTATTTCAATTAA